ACTGGAGCAGGTTTGATGCCCCAGGCATCTGTCTGCTTTTCTTCTACCTCTTCTTGGCACAGCAGCTCCCTCCCAGCTGCAGGCCAGTCCCAGGGCTGGCCTGGATCACGCCGCTTTGATCTGCAGATTCAAAGTTAGCGCTGGTGACCCGGTTCCTCCTCCGGCGGAGGAGGCCCCGCTGTGCACAGAGGGGTGCAGATCAGGTAGGGAGCAGAGTGCTGGCTGTGTGTGAGGCCAGGATGAACATGTGCCAGGCATATGTGGCCGTTCCCTGACTGGCCAAGGCACCGGCTGCTTTGCCCACACACCTGCTGTGCCATCCCTGGGAGCAGGGCGGCTGAGCGCGAGGCTCCACCGAGGTGCATGTGGCACAATCTTTGAAGCCATCAGTGCTGACTTTATGCACTTGGCTTCCCAGGACAGCACAGCCTTGATGGAGCCGTGGGGAGGACTCCTTGGGCCATCGAGGCAGAGTCAGGTGCCTGCACAGCCCTTTCATAGAATCATGGAATCAACTGGGTTGGAAGAGACCTCATCCAACCCTCCATGATCCAATGGTAGGGTTGGATCATCGAGTCCAACCCTACCATGGTTACTAGACCATGGCACTAAGTGCCACATCCAGTCTCAGCTTGAAAACTTCCAGGCAGATTGCTCTGCCACACTTATGCATTGGATTCAACTGGCACTGGCAGAGCAAAATGGTTTAAACTGGCAGTTCCTGAACTGCAATCCCCACATGGCTGTTGGGCTGGAAGCAAATCATCACATTAGGCTGGAAGAGTGTCTTTAGTCCAAGTGTGGATGCCAGGGACACTGGAGACACACTGAGGGCTGGCAGTGAGCCATGGCTCTGAGACACTTGTGGCAAAGTTTGGGCCACTTCTTAAAGTTCTCCTTTCTCCTCTGGTCCAAATCCATATAGACTGCTTGGTATCTTGCTGTTGGGTTTCTCCAGGCCTCCATAGTGCTCCAGGGAAAACAAGACAGGCAAGGCAATATATAATGTGAAGATAATCCTCAGTATTTCCACAATCTTGGAAGACACCTGCTTCTAAAAAGCACATCTAAAGCCCAATAGAAATGCAGTCTGCATTCATTGCCTGCCCCCTTTTGCCAAGAGAGGCTGTTGTGGGATGGGGATGTGATAGTGGCTGGTGCATGTCCTCTGCAGTCAGGATGGAGTACTTGGGGCAGGGATCAGCATCGCTGTGGGCTGAATCTCAGTGTTAGCAATTAGAGTGGGAGTGTAGGGTAATGTCATGGATCTGACTCCTGCAGACAGTGCTTTGATAAGCCCTGACATACCAAATCAGCCCTATAAAAATCTACAGAACCAAAAATATTTCATGTCTCCATAAACATTCGGCCAGATGCTGGTACCTAAATCCATATGCATACACAGCTGATGTGCTGTTGGGGGTGGAGAGGCCAGGAATGGCCTGGGACAAAGAAAGCAAGCAGGAGGCTCCTACTCAGTGTCTCACTGTCTTTGTCCTGGCACCCAGTGGGTCCTGCCAGTCTGCCCCTGTCACCAATCCCACGTGTCCTGCTCAAGGCACAGGTGGGTGGGCTGAGTTGGGACCTCACCCAGGCCACTCTGGCCATGGCTGGGTAGCTGGGAGCTGCATCGCTGTGCTTGTCCTTTCTCCATGTTAAAAGAAAAGGTGCTTTACCCATTCTCCTACCCCCAGCAGTACAGCAGTGGAGGGTGAGTCCCTCACAGGTGGTGGTAGGCTGGAGGCAGCCACAGGCCTGGATGCAGCCTGAGCTCCACACCCTGTGCTCAACACCACTCACTGCATTCCCAACGCAGACAAGAGCTGCCCACCACTTTCAAGTCTCTTGTGCTCCTGCTCTCCTCTGGCAGCCTCACATCCATTCTCCCCATCCCTATCCTCTGGCCCAGCTGCCCTTCTTCTTCTCAGCCTCCCTCTGTGCCCAGGACCACATCCCTCTGTGAAAGGCCAGGCCATCTCCCTCTTCCCAGAGATGGCCACTAGCCCTTTGCTTTCCAGACGGCAAGAACAGAGCCAGAATTCATCCTTGAGCGCTGAAATCGGACACCATTTTATCAGTGGCCTGGAATGGGAAACTGGAGCCTGGGATGAGAGAATTGAATAACTCGAGCTTGTTTTCATTTCATGTTTAATTTCCTGCAGGCTTAGCTCAGTCTTTCCGCTCCTTCCACCAGCCTCCCAGGGTTTTATGGGGGAAAAGGGATCAAGATATATTACTTCTTGCTTTGCTTTGCTTTGCTTTTTTTTTTTTCCAAGGCAGTGATTTTGCTACAGCAGAGTTTGACATTTCCCTCTCACTTTCAAGCCCCCACCACATCACAGAGACACCGCCAAAAACATTTCATTAACGGTCCCAGCAATCATAAGGCTGGCTCTGAGGGGGGCTGGCTCGGGGCTTATATTCCCTGGCTGCAAAGCCTTCTTCCAGCCCCATCCCTTTCTCCTCTGCCACAGAGCAGTCTAGGAGGCAGAGATACTCACAGCCCAGGAGAACTGAGCAGCCAGGGCTGGGCTGGAATGGGCTTGGGATGTGCTTGTGTGTGTGTGTGTCTGCAAGAGGAAGGATCCATGTGTGAGTACACGTGTCTACTGTGTTTTTCCAGTGCCACTGACATCTGCTGCAGCCCTGAATGGGCTGGAAGAAGTTCAGGCAGTTGCTGATACCAAGCAGAAGCTCTTTCTGAGGCTCTGCAGCCCCAGATGTGGAAGAGGAGAAGAAAAGAACGGGACATGCCTGTTGTGTAGGACCTACATGAATTCAGTGCCTGCTGCATACCCTTGCAGGTTTGTGTCTGAGCCCTGGCAGTCTCTCCCAGACTGGGTGGCTCTGCCTTTGCACAGGGCTTACATGTTGGAAAACAGGAACATGCAGTAGCTTAATAGTACATGGAACCTAGGGGTGAGGTTGTGGGGAGCAGACAGGGAAAACATTGCGTGGCGTCGCAGGGGGAATTAGCTTTGGGTCAGGCACCAGTGCTGATGGCTGGAAACTGAGGCAGGCAGGGAAATGGAGCAGGAGAGGGGCCAGGCTGTGGAATGCCACCACCCCACAGACAGCACAGCCCACCCTGTGCATGCTGCTGGCATGGGCTCTTCTCCAAACACTGATCTCTGGCAGCTATTTCACTAATGAACCGTGAGCTTGGGAAAGGGATGGAAAAGTCAGAGCTGTCACTTGCCTGTCTAAGCTCTGCATCTGCTCTTGCCTGCCGTGCAGCTGGTTATGCTCCCCAGGGAGCCAAGCCTGGCCAGAGGGGACAGCCTCCAGAGAAAAGCTGGCTCAGGAGTAGGAGGGAGCATCACACCTCAAACCTGCTGAGTGCCTTGCCTTCCTGCCACTCTGCTTTGCTTAGTGCAGCCTCACAGGCAGCTGCAGCTGACTTCCATGGAATTATACCAGGACTCTTGCCATCCCTTAGATGACCATACCTTCCTTGGAAGAAGAGCTGCTGAACTTCCTGCAAAGCCCGTGGGGATGCAGGAGGTTGTGTGCCCAGACACCCTGCAGCAGTCAGAGCCCCTGCCAGCTCAGCAGAGAGTCTGATTGCAGGAGGAAAGTCATAAGGGGTTTGTGGCTTATTTGTGACTTCCACCCTCTTAGCCCTTGGTCCTTGGTCCTTGCAGTAGGTATTTGCTTCACCATTGGTGTCCTGGACTGCTGCCCTGTGCCCATGCCTGCTCTTCAGCTGTGAGCTGATGGTCCTCAGTGCTGCAGTGCCATCACTGGAAGGTCCCTGCAGAGCAAAGCTGCCCAGAGGGGTGAGAGACCAAAGCCAAGCCTAAAGAAGCTATAACACAACCCAGAGCTGGAGACAGGTGCTATGGGGATTCACTAAGGCTTACCCCTTTCACCTGGCCTAGGTGCTCAAGCAGCCAGGCCACTCAGACGAGTCCTTCAGCCCTTTTGTGACACAAGCCCTTCCATCATCACCCCAACTGACTGGTGTGCACTGGTGGTCATGGCACCAGGCTAGTGGGACACATCTCAGGGCAAGGCGAAACCCTCCTCTGTTAGATCTCCTCCTGGCTGCCTGGAGAGGTGCACTTGGCCGAAGTGTTATCCAGTGGTAAAGTGGGGAAAACCACCCAAAATCACAGGTCATACATGAGGAACTCACAGATTGCATCTGCCTCACCTACCCTGGCTCTGTCAGCCAGCCCTTCATGCTGGCTGGGATGCCACACTAGCTGCACACCTGGCTCAGAGGTGAGCACCTCATTCTAATTGCCGAGTGAAAGGAATTTCGTGCTCTGTGCAGCATGCAACCAGGCACTGTGTCTGGTCTCCCAGGAGACCCCATCAGCACTTGTGATGTGTTCCTGGGAAATCAAGGGCTGCATCCAGTGGCAGAAGTAAAGAGCTGATGTTTGTAGCACTGCCTTCCTCTGCCCATCCTGCAGTGCTCAGCATGCCACACTTGGGACCAGTGGGAATCATGCTGCTTCCTACTGAATGCAGCCATGTCCAGCCTGAAGAGAAACAGCTGTGGGAAAGAAGAGCATGCCAGCCCTGCAAAACACTTTAGGCAAGCAGACAAGAAAAATCCTGCTTCCAGTCAAATCTGGAAGTGAAGGCACTAAAATGGACTTTGGCATGGATGCTGCTCTGACTACTTTGACTGTTTGCAACTACTACTTGTAAAGGTGAAAGCAGAGGGCAAGTCAGGCTGCCTGGGAGCTATGAGTCTTCCTGGCAGGAGATACACAATCAGGTGTCTCCATAGGCCAGCCATTCTGACTGCTAAAGCAGGTTCTGGGGATGGAGAGCTGATAAATGCCTGCAGACAGAAGATGCAGGATTAACTAGACTGGAGAAAGAGCTGGCCACCAAGGTGTGAGCTGTGGATGTCTGCTCCACATGATGATGTTCCTTTTTGCACATGCTCCTGAACCCTGCCAGGCCTTCTGTTTAACCCTGACTTAGAGGAAAGAGCAGCAGTCACAGAATCATTCACTCCCTTGATGTGGATTTTGGCTCTGCTGCATCCCCAGGTTAGCTGTGGGGAGCTAGTTCATAGGAGCTGGTACTTGTGTGAATGGAGGTGATTAAGACTCAGAGTGTAGTTGTTTGATTCTCCAGCTCCTCCCACGGTGGTGGATGCACATTTTGCCTCCAGATCTCCAGCTTTCATGCAGTCTCAGCACCTGCTTAACGAAGCAGGCAACAAGAGCTGTCTCTCCTGTATTACCTCATGCTCTCTAGACTGAACTCCTGGTCACCTCTGCATCCCCATCGTGCCAGAAAGAGCCCATCCTGTGGGAAAGCTTGCTCACATTCAGATTAATGAACCTGTGTGCCCTGTGAGCCTCCTGAAGAAGGCAGTTTTGGTAAAAGCTTTGTTCAGGGGGGTGGTGAGGCTCACCTGCCTGCAGTCCCACGAGCTCGAGGGCAGAGGTGTCTGAATGCTGGAGCACAGGACACCAGACCAAACAGAGGAGTTGACACTAGTGTCAGACATGGATCTACCTCCCTGTCCTGTCCCTGCCGGAGAGGTGTGCTAGCCATTGCCACGGGCTCTGGGTAGGGCTTGGCTGCCTGCAGCTTCTTATGGTGAGGCTGCAGGGAACCTCAGGGGCTTGTTTGCAGCTCACCCACCCATCACCCAGCCCCAGCCCATGCCCCTGTACCTGTACACGAGCCTCAGTGAGGTCTGTCCTCATGGCTAGCTGCTCCCTGGCATAGACATCAGGATAGTGGGTCTTCTGGAAGACCTTCTCCAGCTCCTCCAGCTGGTAACTCGTGAAGGTGGTGCGATTCCTCCGCTTTTTGCCCTTGTTGCTCTCCGAGTCAGCCTTGTCCATGGGGCTGGGGAGGTCTGTGCTGGCCCTGTCCTGGGGCACTTTCACCCCGGCCTCTTTCACGCTGAGGTAGCTGCTGTCCATTCCCGAAGGGTCGGAGCTCGGCTGCAAGTCGGTCTCTCCCAAACTGCTTTCCTTGCCTACTTGGGTGAGAGGATGGGAAGGGGAGAGGAGGGCAGGTTTGAGCAGGGTGAAGAGGAGTGGAGGGGAGAGAGAGAAGGAAACAGATGTAAATCTTATGACCAATTAGTTGGTTCAACCAGTTAAAGCTAGCACTGGCAGTGGGGCAGCAGTTCTCAAAGGTGGGCAGAGAGGTTGGAACCAGCTCTGGGCAGAGACAGAGGAGGGAGTTGAGGCAGAGGACTGCCATGGGTGCAGGAAAGCTGCCAGCCTCTGCCACAGAAGGTGCTGGAGCTCAGCTCAGGGATGCCATAGGCACCTGGGCAGGCTGTATTTGAGAGGGGAGGGATGATCTCAGCCCACAGATGCCAGCACAGACAGGGAAGAGGAGGTTGGGGCAAGATCTACCAGCTCCTCCACCCTCTCTGAGAGCCACTATCTGAGAAGGATAAGCCCTTCACACTCAAGTAGATGCACTCCACCAAGACCCTTCTTCACCCTCCCAACTCCCACATCAAGTTTGAACCCCACAGAACACTACATTCTTTGGTCTTAGCCACAGGAAAGGTCTCTGAGGACAGAGGGATCCATCTGTTCCCTGCTTCCATCAGGTCCCCAGTCACCAGCCCATCCATGCTTCCCCACTGAGTAACGCGCAGCAGAAAGCCAGGAGTACACAGCAGCCACACATGGTGCTTGGTGGGGTCTGTTTTCTGTTCCTGCATCCCCAGGCAGTGGTGTGTCAGCAGAGGTGCTCCTGACTGACCCCTCACAGTCATCCCCACAGCCTTCAGCAAGAACTTGCACTGCTGCTGGGAAAGAGCTGTGCACAGGGCTTAGTGCCACAGAGGAGGATGGTGTGAGACACCTGCAGGGACAGCCCAGTCTGTGTCCAGGGCAGAGGGAATTGACAGGAGCCTGACAGCAGTCTGGGGGACTGTTCCTGCCTGACCACCCCCGCTAATTAATCACTAATGGGATGTGACACAGGAGAGCAGTATGGCAACCTAGGGGAACATTTCAATCACTGCAGTGAGCTGGTTCCTCTCTAAGGCTTAGCAGCTATGAGTTAAACCCCCTTTGAGCTTCTGTAATGGAACATATGTATCCCCAGGCACAGGTGCTGTGGTGGGGTATCCTCTCCTGCCTGCAATGACAGTGGTGTCCCCTTCACTAGCAGAGTGCTGCTACACCAGCAAGAGCCTGATGGACACCTGTGGCAGGTGACCTTGGCTCTCCCTTGTCTGGTGCCATTGCTCTGTGTGACGAGCTGTCTCCAGACCAGAAAAAGAGGGATCTGTGTGAGCAGCTGGCCCACCTGGCATATGCTCTGCAGCCCAGTGTCACACCTGGCCACATTTCTGTCTGAGGTCTTTGAAGAAAACAGGTGGTACCCTACTGCAGGGTTTAACCTTGAGCCACCACACTTAGCTCCTAAATGTCCAGGAAGAAAAGTGTATAGTGGTATTTCCTATCCGAGCTCTCCTTACCAAGCCAAGAGCATGTCAGCTGGCTATTTCACATCTGCCTATTTTTAAATGTTCACAGTCCATGATCAGTCTTTCTGGGAAACAGCTCCATCATCTAGTGATGTCCCCACTGGGAGCTTATCCCTGGCAGTGTCATATCCTGGGTCATTAATGCCAACTCAGGCATCTTAGCCTGTGTCTTTGGCAATCCCCATTTTTTCCAGCACTTGTCTCATTACAACATCTTTGCACTCATTCACTGTATGTTTACAGTTTAGCCCTTCTGTGAAGAGCTCTGTCACAGCTTCACAGCCAAACGCCCATGAATGGACTTTGGAGAAGGAGTAATGTCCTCACTCATTTCTTACTCTCACAGCCAAAGGACTGCATTGAGGTGATGGCAATGGAACCAGAAGCATGAAATGTGGCATGAGGGCAGGAAAGGCACGGGTTTAGGCCTGGAAGGATGAGCTATGAAAGGGATTTGAGAAAAAAATTGCTCAGTTGGTACAGAGGAGTTGAAGCAGATCTTGGATGAAGGCACTGGTGTTACAGGAGGAATCTGCCACTGCTACACTATTGTGAGTCCAGAGTCATTGCTTCCTCTAACACTGTTCCCTCAGGCCCTTGAGGAGCAACCTGTAAAGCTTACCAAAGCCTGATGTTTATCTCAGCTCTCTGTGCTTTGATCCTTAGAAAGCTTTTGCCAACATTTATGCTCCCTGGGTGCCAGGACCAGTGTCTAGGTCAGTGACTGACCCACTGCCTCCTCTTTGCACCTGCCCTCTCTGTCCAGCTGACCCCCACCACCACTCCTGGGGAACACACGTGGACAGGTCTGTCCAAGAGGGGCTGGATAAATCACATGCTATGGCCACGATCTGTATGATTTTCACAACTGATAATAAAACAGTTCTGGAAGATGTTTCCATGAGAGGGACAGCAACTGTAGGATGGAGGGCAGGCTGGCAGCATAGGAAGGGGATGGTATGTATCCCCTCTCTGCTGAGCATCCCAAGAAGTAACTCTCAGTCCCTAGGAACAGGCTCCCTGACCTCAAAACAGTCACGCCAACTGCTGAAGTGAAACAAATTGCATACATCTGCATATGGATATGCCCAGACTTCCTGTAACTGGAGATGGCCTCAAAGTTTCAGGGCAAAGTTTGGGGTGTCTGTTTCTAATCAAACCTAGAGAGACCTTGAGTTACATATTGTCAAGATCTCCATGACAAGTAGGTAATGTGAGCACCATTGCACCCTTACAACCCTGACAGGATCCCTTGGTGCCTCCTTTACTGCTTACTACTCCATCCTTGCCTTCGTAGCAGGAGAAGGAGGATATTTTCTGGTTTCCCACAATTACACCCTCCTCTCTCAGAGCCTTGGATGACCATCAGCACTTCCAAAACCTTCCCTGAGGCACCCTGTGTCAGTTACAAGGGGCAGGGACAGCCCAGGACAGCTGGGCATATGAGCCCTAAGAATTTTGGAACTCTTTTCACCTGGAGGGGATATGCCTTGCCAATCTCACTGTGTCTGTCCTGGGAACCCTATGGAGGAGCAGGAGGGTGCAGGAGACAGACTGTGGTGCACACATGAGCACACAGTAGGCAGCAAGGCATCACGCTGCTCTGCTGTCGCTGTCCTGGAGGGAATGTCCATTTTAATCATTCTGTCACAATGTTTGGATTCACAACCTGTGTCTGTTTTGTTCCACAAGTGTGCTATTTTGAGAGGGTGATGAAGTAGAATCTTCACTATGTACAATCTTATCCATGGAATTCAATTTAGTGCAAAGCCAACTTGGTGCATCCACATGGCAACGGAGAGATATTTCCAATACACAACTTTGGGCCCAACTTGCAGTGATAGGTCTGCTTTGCATGGCACATGTGTGATGAGCCACAGCTCCTGCACCATCAGCTCCTTCATGCAGAGCCTGTGACTGCAGCCCCACAGGTCAGGAGGCTTCATGACAGCCACACAGCCAACAAACCCCAGGGACACAGCCAGCACGGTGTGGTTTCCCCCAGGCTGCAGCAGAAAAACCTGCTGGATCTTGGCATTGAGGATGTACTGCTCTGGCAGCATCTCATCCAAGCTCTCATGGCCTCAGCGAGGAGCTCGTGCTGTCACAGGCCTGGGGACTCCATCCATACCTGGGACACCTCCTGACACGTGGCAGCTCACAGAAGGTGCCTGTCAGTGGGTGAACCACGTCCAAAGCACTCGGCACAGGTGATGTGGGTGTGACCAGGGACACTAGTCTGCCTCTCTGCTCCCACACTACATGGCACAGGAGCCTTCTGCCTTCCTGCCCAGGTGTGAGCACAGGGCTGTTCCCTGACCAGCCTGGGCTCTGGTGCTGGCCATGCCATGGTGCCTCTTCCTGCCTGCACAGTTGTAGTCTGACTCTTCATAACAACGATGCTTTAAAAAACCCCAAACCCCCAACCTCTATTAAGAATACCTTTACATCCATGTTTGGCTCTTAATGTCATTCTCTCAACCCTTGCATAAACACCACTGCTACGATTTTGCCTAGAGAGGGTTTGGTCAGTGTACTCTACACCTATTCCCAAGGCAGATATGCACCCAGCCCAGCCAGCACACTTCCAGGACTTGGCTGACTCTGGTAACCTTAGCCACTTCTTGTGATCTTAACCTTAACACATGCTGAACATATACTTGTTCCTAAGCTGTCTGTTGCAGTCTCTGCCTCCTGTCTGTCACTGAAGTCAAGAAGTCAACACAAGACTATTCTTTCAAAAGTATCCACATTTTGGGTTACATAGGAGAAAATGGAGTGGATTTTACACATATAGAGACCCATAAATTTATGTTTATTTCTGTTCAGGGAGTTGTTTGTTCTTGCAGTCTGCACGTGTAGTGAAGAGTTTAAAGATGGATGGAAGAACCACACCTTTCACTGATTTTATCAGCAATGAACAGATATTTAATCATACCTTCACTCCTGGGCCCAACTGAAATGTAAAACTGGGTAGCATTCAGCTCTTAACTGCAGGTGGCAGAAGTCTACATAGGACTGAATAGGACACAAGCTATTGACAAAAATCTGGAAGCTGCTAAGCAAAATCTTGGAGCCTCTCCATTTCAACCCTGGGTAAGTATGAGCTATCTATCCCAGTCAGGGACCTCATTTGGCTGATCCTGCAGAACCTGAAGGAAGGCTGAAACATGCTCTGTGCTGTTCCCCTGCTCATGGTATGGCATGCACTGCTTTCCTATCATGCTCAGGAGACCATGGCATGAATGTTCTCATCTGCATGGACACCATGTGTCTGTGCTGAGCCTGACAGAGCTGCTGGTGCTGCTGCTCTGCTGCCTGCAGCCTCCTGAGGCTGTACAGCAAGCAGGGGAGAGAGTGGAACTCACAGGTTAAAGTGGCTGTGAAATACCTGACCACCCTGGGGAGCTGATTACAGACAGAGAAAATTCCTACAGAAAAACCTACTTGGAGAAGGATGAAAGGGGGGAGAGGAGTGTTTCTTTCTACTGTGCTCCTCCTGAGCACACCTAGCTCCATCC